TATTGGTGTTTGTGTCTGGTTTGGCACCATGAAGATAAACGAAAACACTTTACTGGAGGGACACAAAGTTGTGTTGGTTCCTTACAATGCAAACCACGTGACCAGGTAACGTTAACATTAACACCTGATCAGTTTTGTTACACACGAGAAGTCTGTCACTTTGTTATTTTATTTTCCTCTGCTGATATCTTTAGTGATGAGTGTTTGAATGTCATTTCTTTACTATCAATGTTTAAACCTGGCGGATGGGTTTTATTTTTGCTTTATTTTGACAAGTTCCATTTAGTAGTTTTTCTGGAGCTTTCGATCATATCATACAGTCTCATTTGGCTAATAAAATCATTAAACTTTTACTTAAGCTGTTTAACTTGACTTTTTTTTTATTTTTTGCACATTCATCATCTTGGATAAGCAGCTATGGGCAGATCCCAGTATAGAAGAGGAGCAGTGCATGGTGGGAGATGTCAACATGTTCCTGACCGTTCTGATTCACACTCCAGTCTAGAGGGTGGTGGTAATGCACCTAAAGCAATCAGACTGTACAACACATCACTGCAGTGATAAAATAGGTGAAATTATGAGGGACTATGCAATAATCTACTGAGGTGCAATATTCAGCTCCTGGGTGTGAAATGCATTGTAAATAGGCTCATGTGTAATATCTTGTTCCTGACCTCTTTCAAATAGTGTTACATTGCCCTGCTTTAGGTATTTTTGAGTAGTTGTTTCCTTATCCTTATGGCTGAAACACAGGTTTCTCTCCCCCATTGTGGGATTAATTGTGTGAGTAATATTCGATTGTTCTTGATTTCCTGGTTGTTTAGTCTCTACTGCTGTTCCTGATTTTCTCCAGTGCTGCTCTGCCCTGTTTTTAGGTGCCTTTGATTTGCTTATTTGTGCTGTGTAAAATGTAACCTTCTGATGACTCTACTTTTATAACCCTTGTGCATATTAGTTCTAATGCTTTGTTGCCTTTATGTAACTGTTTATTTTAAGACTAAGTGTTCTTTGTTACTACGTACTGTGGCGCTCCACTGGTTCGGATGAGCGGAGCTGGCCTGACCCTATCCTAAACTGTGACATCTAACTATCCAGCTGTGTGCTGACATTGAGGAGAACACCTTCTCTGTCTTTTCTTGGCTTTTATTGAACAGAATAAGAATGCAAAATGAAACTGCGATATACCTGGCATGTGTGCTCACAGGAAAAAGAAAATAGCAGTAAAAGAAAGCAGTAGCAACACTCCCTCAGGGCATTCCATGTTCCGCGCCAACTGCGATCACAAAACCCTGGTCTACACTGGGACCCCCTTTGTGATGCTAAAAAAGTTAAAAAGCTAGATAAAAAGAGAATCACTGGTTTCTGGGGGAGGCTGCAGGAAACCACACTCAGCAAATTGGCATGTGATTCACTGTTTGCCTTAGAGATCAGGGAGTAGATGTAACTTTTTATTATAAGACTAAGTGTTCTTTGTTACTACGTTCTTACTTATGCATGCGGCAGCAAGTTACAGCAGCTGTGTCCTTGTGTTCTTTTCCATGTTTCTATGAAGTTCTGTTCTTATGGTGTTATGTTCGTTGTTCTCTATTGCTGCTGTAACACAGAAATTTCCCCACTGTGGGATCAATAAAGTACCTACTCTAAAGCTGTTTGCTAGGCACCATAGAAGAAGAAGAAGAAGAAGAAGAAGAAACACCACAATCATCATCTCATTGGACATTTACAGTCCAATCACAGAGCAGAGTCAAATTGTCCACGCAGTGTTTTAAGTGGGTTATATAAGTTAGTTTTGGTAGTGTGGGAGCTGTTTTGCTGCTCAGGTGGGTTGCATAAAAAAATTGTTCAAAATCATAGTAAATATTTCATGTCGTGCCTTCTGTATGTAGGCAGCGCGCAGGTGTTTCGCTGTTAACACAGTTGTTCAAATGTATGTTTTCTATTCCAGGTGAGATACTTTATCTAGTAGTTGAATGTAGGACGTTAGCAATCCTCTGCTAACCAAAAGATTTTTAAGGGTAACGTTAGTCGTCCAGAACTCTTTTGCTTTGGTTTTACATACCCCATTAATGTAAAGATCTTTTATATTCAATATTAATCCTTCAGCTCAATAAAAAAAAAAGCCGGTTTGGACCTCACCAGGTCTTCATCATCACGGAAACTTAAATTGTTTGCACTTGTATGTTTCCGCCCTGATGAAGAGCAGGTGAGGTCCAGTCCGGTCCGAGTCTTTTTACTGAGATGTCCTGTTACAGGTAAGTGTGCTACATTCAATGTGTTGCTTAAATAATAGTGCAAAGGCATTAGCAGCGAAATGTACCTAAATTTACCAAAAGTAAAAGTAGTTACTGTTGGTTTGTACAGGTTTCTGTGATTTTCCTGACAAATTTCAAAAGTTTTTGATTCAACTTTGATACAAGTTGTAATAAATTCTCACTTTTATAACATGGAGCACAATGTAATTGTGTATTGCATTAATAAAAACTTTGTATCTGTAATGTTTATTTATGGAAAGCGTCGTCATAACACAGTGATTGGCCATTGCTCTCAAGTGAAACAGCTAATTGATAGTATTCACTGTGGATAAACTTGTAAGTAACTTTGAATAAGCTGATTGTGTTAATTCTGTCGTCACAGGTCCTGATCCTCCAAATGTCTGGAAACAAGGCATCCATGGCTCTGGAGTTCTTCCTTGATGCTGCAAAGAAACCTGACTACATCCAGGTATTCCTGTCTTTGATAACTTCTGTGCACTTCGCCATATCAAGTTAAACTATTCTCTAAATTAGACTTTATAGTAGTAACTCTGCTTTTCAGTCATTTAAAGTTGACAACTTGCCTATAGGCAACCTTGTAGAATAAGTTTTGTCAACTTAAACACTTGCATCTTAATTTGATTGCATTTTTCTCCCACTGCCTCCAATCCAAGATCTTGACATTGTTGGATGGAAGAGTCCTTCCCTGTGAACAATGCAAAACTCAGTCCTGTCAACCCTTCATGAGGACATTGAGGTAAGAGCAACTAGGACAATTTTTGTAAAAACTATTGGCTTAATTATCTTCATTTTTTCCAGGTGTGGCTCATGCTTGGAGTACACTGAAGAGTTTTGTCTTTAATAAAACAATAAAGCCATTAGAACTCAAACTTTCTTGTAATGAAGGGGGAAAAAAACCAGAACAAGGCTGAAAAGTCAAACAGGCCTAAAGACCACTTTTTTTTATGGCACTGTTCAGGTCTTGGTTCCTCATTGTATCTAGTAAAGAACTAAGACCCAAACCTGTGCCTTATGGTAAAACACAAAGCAGAACCAGCAAGTTTAAGTTGCAATAGCTTTATTAAAAAGAAACAACCCACATCAGAACAAAGCTGAAAATGCTGCTGAAGTTTTGGCTATAAAGACTCCATAACTGTGGTCCAGGCACACGCAGTGCAACAGCAGGGAGAAAATGAGGTATTCCGCCTTGATGCCACCCATAGGGATTTCCCATCTTAAGCAGCTGGCTGAGCTGGCATTGAGAGCCTGCAAAAAAAGTTTGGTAAACACTTTCAATAATAAATGGTGCATTTATAAATAAACTTGGCTGTCTTTATGCATATCCTCAAGAAAGCTGCTGTGATCTTCTGGCCACAGGACATCTGGTTAAGGACTACCTAAGGGAGAAATGGAAAAAGTTTTGAGTTTAAAGCACAATATGCTCTATGAAACAACCCATGTTTGATACATTTGTATCTTAGCAGTGAACATATACATACAAATATAGATATGCATGCAGAATGGACACCAAAGGTTGAAATAGCCGTCTCTAAATTACTGGTGGCAAGTCCCAAGAAAAGGCCATACTGCTGGGTTCATCACCATCAAGCCTATAAGGAATATTCACTTGAATTGCCAGTTTTGCTTACTGTCAATTTATGAAACAGGCCATGCAAAATTGATCATGAAGAACAAGACATCCTTCATACAATACAATAAACCACCACCCCATACACTGCATCCTAAAAACGTCATTAAACCCTGGCATTGCTTCCACTGTCAAAACCTGCTGACATTTTGAAAATGATCTTAATTTTAAAAAAGCTTTTCAGCCTTCATTAATGACTGGCAGCTGATCGGACCTCACTCTAAATCGAGGCTCCATCTTACACAGACGTGGCAGAAAAATTCTATGCTCACGTACCTAAAAGGTTTCTCCAATACAAGACAGACATCTTATGCAGTTCGAACCAGCTTTTTTTTTTTATCTTTCGGTTCCATTATTGCTCCACACTCCAGCCCAGCAGGTGGCGGTAATGCACCTTAAGTTGCTCGCAAACCGCCAACAAACAAGAAAAAAGTGTCAAAGACCAGCGTCCTCTAAACATCAGTGAACTTGTTGGGTGTTTAAAACAAGAGGGTGCTAATGTCAATCTAGTCCAGATATATTCAATATGCAACATCGTTCCCATAACGCTTGGCAGTCAAACTACAGAGCCAACAAGGGATAGGTGACTAGTTACCAAATGTATGTTTTCTATTCCAGGTGAGATACTTTATCTAGTAGTTGAATGTAGGACGTTAGCAATCCTCTGCTAACCAAAAGATTTTTAAGGGTAACGTTAGTCGTCCAGAACTCTTTTGCTTTGGTTTTACATACCCCATTAATGTAAAGATCTTTTATATTCAATATTAATCCTTCAGCTCAATAAAAAAAAAAGCCGGTTTGGACATCACCGGGTCTTCATCATCACGGAAACTTAAATTGTTTGCACTTGTATGTTTCCGCCCTGATGAAGAGCAGGTGAGGTTCAGTCCGGTCCGAGTCTTTTTACTGAGCTGTCCTGTTACAGGTAAGAGTGCTACATTCAAAATGTTGCTTAAATAATAGTGCAAATAAGGCATTAGCAGCGAAATGTACCTAAATTACCAAAAGTAAAAGTAGTTACTGTTGGTTTGTACAGGTTTCTGCGATTTTCCTGACTAAGTGTTTGAGCAACTTTGATATAAATTGTAATGAAAATTTTCATTTTTATAACATGGAGCACAATGTAATTGTGTATTGCTTTAGTAAAAACTTTATCTGTAATGTTTATTTATGGAAAGCGTCGTCATAACACAGTGATTGGCCATTGCTCTCAAGTGAAACAGCTAACTGATAGTATTCACTGTGGATAAACTTGTAAGTAACTTTGAATAAGCTGATTGTGTTAATTCTGTCGTCACAGGTCCTGATCCTCCAAATGTCTGGAAACAAGGCATCCATGGCTCTGGAGTTCTTCCTTGATGCTGCAAAGAAACCTGACTACATCCAGGTATTCCTGTCTTTGATAACTTCTGTGCACTTTGCTATATCAGGTTAAACTATTCTCTAAATTAGACTTTATAGTAGTAACTCTGCTTTTCAGTCATTTAAAGTTGACAGCTTTACTACAGTCAACCTTGTAGAAATTGTGTACTTAAACACTTGCATCTTAATTTGATTGCATGTTTCACCCACTGCCTCAAATCCAAGATCTTGACATTGTTGGATGGAAGAGTCCTTCCCTGTGAACAATGCAAAACTCAGTCCTGTCAACCCTTCATGAGGACATTGAGGTAAGAGCAACTAGGACAATTTTTGTAAAAACTATTGGCTTAATTATCTTCATTTTTGCCAGGTGTGGCTCATGCTTGGAGTACACTGAAGAGTTTTGTCTTTAATAAAACAATAAAGCCATTAGAACTCAAACTTTCTTGTAATGAAGGGGGAAAAAAACCAGAACAAGGCTGAAAAGTCAAACAGGCCTAAAGACCACTTTTTTTTATGGCAAAGGCAGAACCAGAAAGTTTAAGTTGTAGTAGCTTTATTGAAAAGAGAAACGCATCAAAAACAAGGCTGAAAATGTTAAACGGGGCCTGAAAAAAAAAATCATCTCAAAACCAGTGTTTTGTTTTTTTTTTTTTTTAAAGTGAAGTTTTGGCACAGGATGGGAAATCCCTACTGGTGGGATCAAAGCAGAGCACCTCACATGTTCTCCATGCTTTTACACTGCATGTGCCCAGACCAGTTATGAAGACTCTAGTCATGTAACTAGAAGGGAGGTCTTCACAACTGTGGTCTGGGCACACGCAGTGTAAAAGCATGGAGAAAATGTGATGTACTCTGTATTGATGACCCCACCAGTAGGGATTTCCCATCTCAGCCAAAACATCCGCAGCTGGCTGAACTGGGATGGAGAGCCTACAAAAAAAGAAAAAAGACAAATTGTAAACATTTGATTTCAACAATAAATGGTGCATTTATAAACATACGTTCCCATCTTTCTGCCCATTCTGCATATGTATATATATGCGCAGAATGGACACTGAAGTTCAAGTCAACATTAGACAAAATCATGGGGAGAAAAAAAAAATTCAAAACACTAAAAGGTTTCTCCACTACAAGACCGACATCTGTGTCAGACCAGTGAGCTCTAAACATTAGTGAACTTGTTTGGTGTTTAAAACAAGAGGGTGCTAATGTTAATCTAGTCCAGATATATTCAATATGTAACACCTTTCCCATAACGCTAGCAGTCAAAGTACATAGCCAACAGGGGATAGGTTACTAGTTACCGTCATGGCAAAACTCCCTAGAAGCAAGTTTTAACAATTAACCTTGTTGTTAAAATGCGGGACATTAAAATTTACTTGCAAAATATGTACTGAAAGTCAACCTCCTCACCAGTGACCGTCCATGTCCCCACTTCACCATCTGTCCTTTGGACGCTGTTGTCTTGCTGTTTTGTAAACTCCACCCACTGACAGGTGGATGTAACGAGCTCATCACTGTTATTCACTTCACCTGTCAGTGGCTGTAATGTTTTACCTGATCGGTGGAAATGTCATTGGTCAGAATTCCTATGGTAACGTGAGTTCTACTGCAATTTGCTGCATTCTATCTGTATTATTTTCCTACCAACATACATACTTTTTGCACAATGGAATCTATTTGGTAATAATTTGAATGTGTTAGAATGTGTGCAGTTTTTGTGAAATCAGTCCCCTGATTAACAGGATCCCTGCCCTGACAGGGAATCAATCCCCTGACCTGCCATACCAAATACAGTGGTGTTAACCACCCAGCTATCCAGCTGCTGGATAAGCACACAGAACATTTTCTGGGTTCAGTTTCTCACATCATTGTCACTCGAGGCTGAGATTGCACGGGGATCTAAATCACACAATCAAAATGATTTATCATGGCTCTGTCCAATCTGTGCCACAGCTTCACTGGCTCCTGTAGAGTGTTGACCATGTCCGTCCAGTGCTGCAGCTGAGGGCCTCTGGCGTACATGAAGGGCCCTAGCACCAGCACTCCCAGTAGGACTGGAGGCTTTGGGAGAAAGATACTGTATATGAATATCACTTTTTTTTTCTTGTTTACTGCACTTTGTGGAGCGATAAACAATTCATGGAATTATTTCTGAACGCATCCTCACTTTTAGTACCCAGAACTTAATGCATTGTACTGAATGTGCAAGGTACCTCTGCTTAGAGGCAGCAAGTCTAGAATGCATGAGAAAAGGGTGTCATGTGTATCACCTGTTGGTTGGTGTTAAAACTACACTAAGCAATATTTATAGATTAATGGAAACCTGGTTTTGTAATGATGCTGAGCCCACAGAGAAGCTTTGCCCAATCTGCCGTCTCCCTCATACTGACATTTTTAACATCTTTCAGATCATTGTTTTGATTTTCTGACTGCTTTGCAGCCTCACTGCTCTCATCTGCGTTGGCATCTGCTTGTATAAACCCATTGCATGCTACGTGCCCAGCATTAAACAACAAACAGGCACAGTTGGAGCATTTAGAGGAGCATTCATCAGCTAAAAAGTCACTTATTTCCCTCAGATTTGGTGGCACACAGACAAGAGGAATTATCATTACTGGACTTCATCACTTAGACATAAACACATCTCCAAATGACTGCTAATGTTGCTCTGTTTCTGTTGAATGTGTCCATTCACAACAATTTTCTAACGTGTTCACTGTGTCAACTTTATATGTCAGTGTTGTGTGTTTAAAGTGTTGTGCCTCCCTCAAGTGGTCAAAAACCAACTGGTTGGGTAATTGGGTGTATTGTACTACATTTATGATACTTGGCGCTGATTTTGTGTAGAATATGGGTGATGCTGGTGTTTGGATGGGTAAATGAAGAGAACATGTGGCCTTCTTGGCAAAACGCCAGCTACAGTATGTCCTGACACTGCAGACTAGAAGCAAGGAAACCAAAGATTTCAAGGAAGTACACAGAAATGTGTTGAATATTCATGATACAACGTACAAATGACTTTCCAAAACACTACTGGTGAAAGGTGACATGGTACGCAAACAAATCATTATCATTTATACAGACACTTTATGACTGAGTCTTAGGAGAATGAAGCCTAAGATAAGGGCACAATGACACCTGTACATCTGAACCACAATTCTGTGAGACAGTTAATGATTTGCTTGTAAATATCTCCAGGATGCAAAGCACATAATCCTATAGTGGGAATGAAAGGCATTCAAAAGTCAGGCACGTACTGTAGGGCCTTATTGACTTTGAAAGTCAAAATATGTGTAGTTTTTCAGAAGAAAATCTATTTTATCTCTTCAGCAGATCAGCTTCCCCACAAGCCAAACATGTAATGCTCGGGAGAGCTGTGCTTAATATTTTTACAAAAAGAAAAAGTGGAATCGCTTGTTTAGAACATATTTATGTTGCCACATTCAGTCAGATAGGTCACACAGTAATTACTGTTTTCCAACCTTCTTACTGTCAGATAATCCTGGATTCTAGACTGTGAACAGGATGTTAGTGGTAAGCTCTGTGGATGTCACATTCACATTCCTACACTTTAACTGCTAATTTGAATTAATTTAATAAGCTCTGCATTTTTATAGTCGCAATGTATTGTTCATTGTTAATTGAGTGCAATATTTAAGCGGTGTACTGCTGTGTTGTTTTACTGGAAGCACTCAGCATCAATTTAATTACTTGTCATTGCCACAGTTGCACCAAGATTGCAGTATTTTAACATCCAGCATAGCGATGCATTTCATTCCCTGCTAAATGAGCAGACCTTTAAAAAATGTCTGGCAGAATCTAAATTGCAGTTTCCACATAACACAAATAGATCAATCAGTTTTATATGTGTGAGCTGTGTGTGAATGAGGTTCAGCTGTGACTACAGTTTGCTGTTTCACTTATGCAGTGTAATACCAAACTTTAAGTAAGCTAAATACTGTATTATTGCAGAGGAATGCGTAGTGTCAGCAATGATTTCTTAGAAGCACCATGGCAACAGCACAAAAGCTAGACTGGTGCTCTCTCACAGGGGGTCTCTTGACAGAGACTGCAGCATTTAGTCAGCTCAAAGAGGATGTCACATGCTAATCCCTCCTGGTCGGCAGCATCTGCTTAATACTAACCCATGTCCCAATGCACTGGCAGCCCCCCCTGCCATAACATCTGTTTAAAGGTGACCCTGACCCCTGTGTCGTACCTTGGTGTAAAGTCAGACCTTTCTCTCTACATAGATCATTACCTCTGGCCAAACCAGTGGGGGCAGCGTGTGTGAATTGAGAAGCAGGTGGAGTCAGAGCTCAGTGAAAAACATCTGGCTCACAGTGACCGTTCGCCCCCCACCTCTGATAGAGTTACAGCTTTTTCACCTTTATTTCTTTCTTACTGTGGGTGGTGTCTGCCTGCAGCATCTCTATGCAAGGTGAAATAGTTATCTTTCATAAAAGCCTAATGAGTTATGGGAATTGTACAATGACTTTAAAATTATCTGCTGTTGTCATAACTTCTTTGTTGGAAGTTTTTAAAGTCAGTTGGGAAAAAAAAGTATTATATGATCTTTACACATCTGTATTTCCATGCCACCAAAATGGGGTCTCTTATAAGCCCCAGTGTTTAATTTAAATCTGTGCACAACATTAGTTTTTCTTTTGTTTCATCTGTTTACAGTCCTTGTGTTCAGAATTTAAAGAAATAAATTAACACTCTCCACAGAATCCTGCTCAGCTCCACTTTTGCAAACTCGCACCTGCCCAGCACAGCTCCCCTTACAGTTATCTCTAAATAAAATCTGGACCCGACCTGTAACCCAAACTGTACCCATAATTAAAATAGGCTTTAAGCTACATAGTCGCTTACTTTAAAATGCTTGAGATTTGCTTTTGGAAAGGTACTGTGGATTCTGGTGTGGATTGTGTCTGACAATCTATACAAATATACCAATCCCCAAAGAATAAAACTTAACAGAGCCAGAGAGAATCTTTTACCTCAGTAAGGTTATGAGCCATTACTTACTGAAAGCAACTAAATAGCACAATATGTACTGAAGTCACACAGTGGTTTTTAACATGCTGGTGACACATTTTTACCCATACAACATATCATCAACATAGTATCATGTTTGCTTTCACTTGCTCAAGAGAACAGGAAATTGTATGCTTGAGGAAACATCTTTCTTTTTGCACATTTCCCAAAGTGGATATATTCCCTTTCAGCACTAAAAGTGTTTAACTCTTTATCTGTCAGTTGATGCAGCTATTGTATCAAATGCTAACACATTTTGGCACTTTTTACAAGCAGCAAAGCCTCTGATAATGCTGTTCTCACTGTCTGTAATCACAACAAATTTATCCCATATGTTTCACTTGGTCTTGTTCACAAGTTTGTATTCACCACCGGCTATTTTCACTATGATGTCCTATTCAACAGATGTGAGTTTAGG